TTGACTTATACAACCCGGTATGTGATCAAGGCGGAGATAGAATGTGATTACTAAATGTTGGAAATTTCCTGTTTTGGATTCTTGCGTCAAAATTATTCTGCTGGGAGCATCATATATGCATTGCTTATTATGACAAAATAGCAAATGAAACAGAAAAATTTGGTATCAATTTTAGCTAAAAGTGCTCAAACACTCAAATCTCTTGAAGTTACTTGTTGTGAGGACAGTAGTTGTTTAAAATTTGCTTAGGCTCATGCTCTGTATAATCTTTTTGAAAATAAAAATGTGTTGCCTACTGTTTGCTGTAATGGTAACCAATTCAATTAGTCTTCAACTCTGGGGAATTAAGGAAACTGTATGTGTTTTATTATTGTAGAGGAGGACATGACTGCATATAGGATAATTATCTGCAAAAATTATTATTCCTTTCCTCTACAGAGAAACTTTTCTTCCCAGTCAATTCACCATTAGAGCCATTTATCATCTTTTGCAGTCTTACTTGGAGAAAAAGAGAAAGTTATAAAGCTTTATTTAAATCGTGTTTCTTAGGTAAATGTATAGGGATTATTTCTAGTCAGAGGAGCCGATTTTCATGGGCATGATTGAATGTAATACTTAACCACACAGTATTATGGTCTTTAGTTTTCAACTATCTAATCCATATTATGATACCTTATATTTCCTCTGTTAAAATGTAGTTTGATTTGTTTCTATTTGATACTTGTTATTTGTCACACTAGACTTTCTATTGACCTCCTCCCTTTCCCTTCAGGCCATCTTAATGGATCTGGTATAGTGGATGAGCTCAAGGGGCAGCACACAATATTGAAGGACTGTGTTGAGCAGCTAACAACTGTTGAGTCATCCAGGGTAAACCTCATCTCTCATCTCAGAGAGGTCCTCCAGGAGCAGGTTAGTCATCCCATTGTTGTGCATCATTTCCATCTTTCTGTTTGTTTTTGTGTTTTTGCTCCTGATTAAGTGGTCCGTGGGTTTTTCCTCAGGAATATAAGTTGGATCAAGTACGCAATCATCTTCAGGTAAATAATGTGCTTATTTATATCTGTTGAAATGGTCATTGCTAAATTCATGATATACGTCTTTGTGGGATGGCCAGTTGTGTCATTTTTTGAGTTCTGTAAATGTCTGTGATGCACCTCCTCTTTGATGTGTTATGATATTTTGGTGAACTTTTGATTTTGCTCTGTCATAGATTACATGATATTGGTTTCAAAGAGAATCAAATATAGTTGAGTAGACGATGAGAGATATACCTCATGCTTACTTGCAGAGTTATTTTCCTTTTTTATTTGATAAGAAAAAAATTGTAGGGAAGGGAAATCCTATTGGAGCTACCAGCTTTCCTATTCATCAAAAGTCACAATTTAGAGAAGGAATAGCCAGTGCATTTTTTTTTTACTTTCCCAGTAAAGAAGTGATACTTCTCACATTAGTATATAATGCTATCCTGCTAGCTTTTCTGGGTCACACATATTCCTAATAAACAGTGTAGTGACGTTTCATTACTTGGATTTTAGGCTGCTCAGTCCCACGCAGATCAGGTTGGGAGTATTTGCGGACAGTTGCTGAATTTTGATGGCAATGGGCAAATCTTGGCTGAGCAGAATATAAAGGAAGCTAACACCTCCCAAGCTCCACATTCGTTCATATCTGGAAATCGCGAACAATCTGCTCCAGTGATGTACACTCGACAGGTATCTTATGAAAAATCTGGCAACCTTGAGGAAGATATGAAGTCTGCGGCTGCTGCAGTGGCAGCAAAGCTGACTGCATCAACATCTTCAGCCCAGATGCTGTCTTATGTCCTCTCATCCTTGGCATCGGAGGGTGTCATAGGCAACTCAACTAAAGAATCTTTGCATGATAATCAACCGGAGAAAAGGATGAAGCTTGAAAATGATGGCTCTTGTTATGCTCCCTCTCAGAATCCTCAAGAAGCGGTTACATTTTTCTCTCAGCCAAACTCAGTACAACACAATCTTGCAAGCACTGGGCGGGAATCAACTCCAACTGAACCACCTCCTCTACCATCATCGCCTCCACCATTGGCACCGTTGCCTCCTATGCAGCCATATCCAGCAGGTCAGATCATTCAGACATCTGGGCAGTTGCCTAGTTCAACGTTTGTTTACGCAACAAGCCAGCAAGTGCAACCAGCTTCAACATTGGGTGGTTTTGTCCCTCCAGTGAATGGGATTTCTCCTTTCACATATCCGGCGACAATTGGTTATCAAGGTTATTCAAGTGATAGTAGTTTATATAGCCACCAGTCTTCATCCCTGCCGATGGCACCAGTTAGCCGTCCGTAGGTTGTTATTTTAGAGCTATACATAGCTTGTGTTGGTTAACTGGTCTGATGTACAAGAAAGATTAGGCTGTAACTATGTAACTTTATATTGTGTTTTTGTTTCTAGATTGGAGGTTGTTGTTGGTGTTATTGCACTAGAAAGAAGTCGGTGTGGAAATATTAGTAAAATGTTCAATTGCTAATTAATTCTCCAGTTTATTATAAAGGGAGATTCAATGAATGTTGATTTTGGTTTTTTTCCCCATATCTCGGGAGAAGAAGGTAATTATTCCGCTGTCCTGCTGCTGTTGGTACTAGGAAGAAATCAGACACCATTTTTGCTGCTCTGCTCTAGTATTATAAAAAAAAAAAACCCACAAATGCCATACCCGTTTTTCTCCAAAAGCAAAAGTAAGTAGTAGAAGAAATGGCTTCAAAGAATGCAGTGGTTGTATTACATGTTGTATGTGTCATGCCATAAAGAGACTCTTGTACAATTACGCGGTAGAATTGTGAAAACTGCCCTCCCGCATTCATATTCCTATCAGGCAGACTTTTCAGATTCTTCTTCTTGTCCTCGCCATCCGTCAAATTTCATTATTAAGGTGAGAACAAGGAAGCCTTATTTCAACTTTATAATGATGACCAATAATTTGCAAATTAATTGTGTAGCGACATAGATGGAGACATATCTCTTCGTTAGATTTTTAAATTTATTTGGTTGACAGTGTACTTGTGAGCGTAAGAAACTACAGTTTAGTCGAACCTGCAATTTGGGAATAACATTCACGGCTAAAGTTGCATAGTCTAATACTGCTGACCTATCTTTTCCCTTTGATTTAGGTGATCCAAAATTAGTGTATTGATATTAAAGGGTTAGTAGAGTCCCCATTTTCATGTGTGGGGGTTGTTGGGTCACTAATCACGTGAGCAAATGTCCAAAAGGGTTACTTTAACATGGCTCTATAATTAACATTTAATTCATTTTATCAAACCACAATGTACAAAATACTACTAACTCATCCAAACTTAAAGTTATACCTTCCTCCGCTAAAAAGTTTAGTCGGTGAACCCCATAACATGTTGGAAATTGGAGAATTAAAGGGGAGACACAGTAAGTAAGTTAGACGCGATTGATCGAGCACCTATTAACTTTAATTTTTTTTTATATATGTAGAAAATATGATACATACGTTGTTAAAATTTGAATGAGCACCCTTAAAATAAAAGTAGTTATTGGTCTGCTGATTTATACCCTAAAGTAAAAGACGTGCGAAGCCAATGACAAGGGTTCGATTCCCACCAGCCACATTCCTTTTTCTTAAATTTTTTCTAGCGAATTGTACACCTTTTTTATTTTTTTTAATTAAGAGCTTATTTAACTTCGAATTTTGTACTTTTTTTTGCTATTCTTTTTTTTAAAAAAAAATTTCCAACGAATTTTACACCTTTTTTTAATTTTTTTTCTAATTAAGGGCTTATTTAACTCTGAATTTTGTACTTGTTTTGACCTTATCAATTCTTACTTGTTTTGACTTAAATGTAAGTAATGATGCTATTATTTATCGTTTTGAAACATGAAAAGTCGTCGAAAACAATTATGACTTGATAATTAGTAATAGATCATTGTGACTTATCAATAAAGGTTATTTCTTTATGATGATAATATTGATGAATTGTTTTATTTATTTATTTTACTTTTTTTTTTATTAAAGAGTTTGAGTTAATATACATTTATTTTTTTATTAAAGAGTTTGAGTTAGTATACATTTACCATAGGTAATTGCTAACATGTTTATGTTAATTTACCCTATGTGTTTGCTAACGTATTTATATGTTAAAGAAAGTGAACACCACAACCTTTAAATCGTGGATTCGCCACTGGACAAAATTACTTAAAAGATATAAACAACATAGCAATATGCAGAGTGCTTATTTGAGCATGAAGCAATGCTATTGTTTTATGTAAGTGAGTGTTAATTTAAGGTTTTCAGATTGCAAGTGAATAATGAGCGTTGGTTATACAGATTTGTTTACTTCCATTCGTGTGATACCCTTAAGTCACTATCATCAGGAAAATGCTGAAAGTTCCAATCATGTCAAAGAAATTAAGGAGGAAGAGAGAGTTGTGAAATACATGTGAAGTTGCCACACAGTTAGGAGCTAGCACAACTCAAATAAACAGGGAAATGACCTTGGATGAAACAGGCATGAGCCGTATGCTTCAACAGAATATATAGATATATTAATGGCACACTTTAAAATAAAAGACGCTGGTGCTTTAATTTCATCACCCAACTTCACACTATTCAAATCTAACCTTTTTCCGTCTCTTTTCTTATTCTACTAACTAATTTAAAAGTAATACACCAACATACCTATGTTATTATGAAATAGAGATGCAAAAATAATGCCCATCTCATCACTACTAATTACCAGAGAACCTATTCTACTTTTTAAAATGCAAGTAACATGTTATTTATTATTGTAATTTTTTTTTAATAGAAAAAAATTCAGATGTTAGCAAATTCAAATACGTACAGTCTTTTTTGCTCAACTGTAAAATAGTGTCTGGTTCTCACAAGTCACAATCTACAATTACAAAGAAACCTCATCCATTGATTATTTATCAAACTCAATTTCAGATGTTATAAAAATAAAAAAGGGAAATTTATAACTGCTGGTATGTATGTATATATTATTTTATTAAAAGAAAACGAAAAAGGAAAAAGAAGTCGTCGCGTTCTCTTTTTCCTTGATAAATTTGATTGGGTTCTAGGGTTCCTCCCTCTCTTTTACTGTCTAATTATTTATACTTGGTAGTAGCTTAGAAAAATAATAGGGAGTCAAGAGGTTGGAGGTTCGTTTGTTAAACAGAGTGCTGGGGATTTCAAATGCCGGAGGAGGACTTAATTGAACTCAAATTTCGGTTGTATGATGGATCAGATATTGGTCCTTTTCAATACGCACCCACTTCCACCATAGCTATCCTCAAAGAGAGGATTGTCGCCGACTGGCCCAAAGGTTCTTTTTCTGCTTTCCTTTACTCTTTTATCTTCGCATCGCTGACCTTTCTCTTCATCTTCCCCTATTTATACAATGTTTCCTCTCATCCCTCTGCTTTGAAAATTTGTTTGTAAGTTGACTTTTGGTATACACTCTTTTTGACTAACTCTCTTGTCATAATTTCTAAGTTACAAGTAGAGAACCCAAAAGTGCTAATGCCTGATTCTGAAGTAATGAGAGAAAGTATCTTTCCCCGGAATTTTATGAGGCAAGAATTGTAGTGAGGTATTCTCTGTTTTAAGTTAAATTATGATGAAGTAGAATCTCATGCTATGTATTGCTAGTTTCTTTATCCAAACCAGTAGCTCATGCAGGCATATGCCTTCCATGATAGAACCTTATCTAGCATACCCTTAGTTAACTATTCATATAAGCCAAACATTCTTGCACCTATGATTGCTCGCTCGTACATATTATCTGTGGAAAAATCACATGAAGGCAATGCATTCATACATACTACTACAGTTATATATTCCAGTGTTTAGATAATCAACCGGCAGCAGGGATATATTGGTTATCCATCTTTAAGATCAAAATCAACACCATCACTGGAGTGACTCAAATGTAGATCTAATGAGACCAAAGACATTTAAAATTGCATGACTGATATTGTCTTACGTGAAAAGTGGCACATGTATGCCAAGTGTAAGATATGTACTGAATTCTACAAGTGTATTATACTCATACAATGTGTACCATTGGAGGCTATCCAGGGGTACTTATGACAGCCTTGCTAAGTATTTGTTGAGAGTACCAACAAATATGAAGAGAGTATTTGTAGAAAGGGGACTTATTCAAGGTAATGACATAGAAATGATTCTTATTGAAGATTGACAAGCACTTTGGTCCCTACTTATTTTTCCTGGGAAATCATGAAGAAGAACCCACAGACCTTTGGAGTTATTGTTCGTGGGTAAGCGCATTGTTGTCAGTGGCCAGAAGCGTAGAAAAGCACCATGGTCTATTGGTTCTTAGCTAAGCACAATCCAAGTACATTGCTCAATAGGTGCTGACCAGCAGCAAAAACAAACAATTTATATCTAATACCAGGAAAATAACTCTAACTATGATAAATAACTATATGGATGATAACATAGGAAAGAATGCTATGTTAAATGATGTCAAAAATTTGTTCAAATACCGTAGGGTAAGTCTCCCCATTTGTGGGATTACACTGGGTTTGTTGTTTTTGTAGGGTGAGCCTAAGTGAATCTTTTGATGAGGGACTTGGATTTGAAGATCCTGGACAAATATGTCCCTTCCCTCCCGCACACTCAAATACAAAAGTAAAGAAAAAAGATCACCCAAAAATTAAAAGCTCTCTGTATTAGCTATAGGTAAAGTTCTTCTAGAGCCAAAGTCAGGGACACAAGATCCTTCCGAATTAGAAGAGACAGTTTTAGGTTTCTATACTTAACGAATGAACCTTCAATATGTCTTAAATTAACTCCTATCTAACTGGCGGTAAACCCAAGACCATATATTTTCAAACTATAAACATATATTGGTAGAAGAGATTTAATTTTGATCCTGGTTAAAACCACCTTAATGTTTGCTCTGATACCGTGCAAGATTGTGAATAGACATCTGAATTTTGACATTTGACATCTTCCTCTATAGTCTATATTATGCTTTGTTGCTTTATGCACGGTCCATTTTTTCTGCAGCGATTTGTGAAAACAGGTCTTCATCCGAGCTGGTTTATTATATGGTTACTAGGCTATGTTTTGATAATATTCAACTGCTTTTGTTGCAGATAAAAAAGTTGCACCTAAGGTGGCAAATGATGTAAAATTGATATGTGCTGGTAAAATTTTGGAAAACAGCAGGACTGTTGGTCAATGCAAGACACCTTTTGGTGAGCTACCAAATGGAATAATTACCATGCATGCTGTTGTACAACCATCTTTAGCTAAAGCAAAGTCAGGTAGATTCCCTTTACTACGCAATATGTTTTCATTCTATGTCTGTTTTGAGCAACAGTGTTGCAAGTGCAAATCTTATTTCTGACATAATATGTGCCTAACATAGTTATGCTGGAGATGTCGATTGTCTCTGATAAGATTTTCTGAAGATTGGCATTTCTCTCAAGGCAAGAGTATAAGTTGTTCAGATATTGTTTAGTTGCATTTTTTCATGTGGTATGGAAAAATGTGTATAGTTATGAGAAGAAAGAAGGGGGTTGTGATGATTTGTCATTTTTTGGATCCCATCCATAATTTTCTTTTCTACTTTGAACATTATACTTGTTTAACAGATTCAATGAACTTATGTCCACTAAATTATCAACTATCCTTCACATGTAACACTTGTATCTATCTCTGAAGATACAAGTATACACCTAAGGGCAGGGGCGGACCCATGTTGGGTCCAGGGTGTTCACCCGAACACCCTCGGCAAAAAAATACACGATATATATAAGGTAATTTTTCTGTATTTCTGTAGATGGATATATTTTGAACCCCCTCAATAACAAATAAAAATAGATGGCTCAATGGTAAGACCTTTGAATATTAAGGTGCACGCCCCAGGTTTGAATCCCTGCAACAACATTTACTTATTTTCCTTTATAGTTTCAGTTTATTTTTGTTTAATAAAATCAGTTCTGTTTTTCAAGCATTTTTTTATTTTAAAAACGTGCCAAAAGTGTGGTTTTAAACCCAAAAAAATTCAAAGGGCCCATTTCGAAAGGCTTATTTACACGTTTATATTTTTATTTTTCGAACCTCCTGAACGAAAATCGGTCCGCCACTGCCTAAGGGTGTGACCTAGTGGTCAATGAAGTGGAATTAGAACCAGGGGTCTCAGGTTCATATTCTAGTGGAGGCGAAAATACTAGGTGATCATATTCGGTATGGGGTGCAAGTGACACATTTGGAGGATAAAATGAGAAGAAGTCGCTTGATTGAATTTTATGATGTCCCATATCGACTCCCTGATGCACCGGTCACTAACGGAAAGTATTAGAAAAAGATGAGGTAGACCTAAAGTCATACAGAAGAAGTTATCTTGAACTACTGTCTCTCAGGATCCATGTAGACTCTGCAAATTATGGCAGAGTGGAAGAAAAATATCGACATACGATTTTGATTATGGTTTTGTACACTGGTATAAATGTTGTGAATCTAAATCTTCAAAAACTGGATCGATGCTGGTCTAAATGGGAACAACATGGTTACGGGGATCCATATAGCAGACTGTAGCTAGCTTGAGATTGAGGTGCAATTGATGATGTTGCATCTTTTTCATCACGTCTATTTGGTCTATCTTTTCTTTGTTGTTATTTTCTAAGTTGCTCGGACTCTCCAAAAATGTTGCCTCTCACGTGTCGGATCCTTCCGGATACACTATTTTTGGAGGATCCAACATGCAGCGGTCGACATTTTTGAAGAGTCCGAGCAGCATAGGTTATTATAACTTCTTCACCTGCAAGTAGTGCTACTTTTTGCTTTCTTTTTTATGGAATTATCTGAAGACCTGTGCGGGCTATGTTACAATTGTGTGCATAATTTCTTTTTTTTTTTTTTTGCTACAATTGAAATAATCTTCCACTTATAGTGTGACCTGAGATTACCACAGACACTTAACTTGTAGAGGAGCTACAAAATGTGGGCTTTTAAGTTCTTAGGAGTTTTGTTCTACTTGTTGAAGTTGGAAATACTCAAAGCTGGATTATTTATATCAATGTGCTTATCTTAAAACTAATAGAGAGCTCTGTATTTGAAGATCTTTGGTGGCCCTGTTACACCCTATTCCCTACTCTCGCCCCCGGTTTCTGATCTTCAGTCCAAGCATTGTGTTGTTGAGCCATTGATGTCTTTAATCATTTCCTTTCTTGTTTCTGAGACTTGTATTTGTCAACAGAAAAGAAGATTGACGAGAACCAAAATCAAAGCATCTGTTCGTGCTCCATATTGTGAGATTGCAAGTGATTCAGTTTGATCTTGTGGTATCCTTGGGTTACCTGCTCTGTGAAGTTAAGTCTGGACTCTGGAGCAATAATTTGTATGATACCTCATTATTACATGTTTGTTGAAAAGCATTTGTAACTATTGCATGCTCGTATAATCACGTTTGTTGTATAAAGTTTGTATCTTTATACTTGTAGTCACAGATTTCTCATATAAAAATTACAGAGAAGGCTGGAGATATGCAGAAGGATATTTAGCTGTAACTATTTTTTTTATAATATACTAATCCGTTTACTCTGGTCATCACATGTGTATGTACTTGGACCATCTTGTGAAGAAGATGTATGATTAAATATATATTTATGGATTCATGTTTTAGTCAGTAACTGGCAAATTAGTGTGAAATATTGCATGGCTTGTCGATGGAGATTACAATATGTTAAGGGGGTACAAAGTAAAAGAGAAGAAGCTGATTCTTTGCAGGCATCTAATCTTGTTGTGTATTCCAATCAGTGCAGCTTCTCTGTTTGTGGCTCTATCTCAGCTACAACTTAACTTTTGACACCAAAAAGGTATCTGATCTTGAGAGTAACCACGTTGTTGGTTCTGATAGAAAATGACAGTAGCGCAAAGAAACTGGCAAAAATCTTTTATTCATTGTGACACTTGCCAGACTCTACTTTTGGGGACCAATTTCGAAAATTATTAGTATATTGATGATGGAAATAAGTCATAATTGAAAGAAATGAACACTTTTTCGTAATTCTTCAAGAAGGAAAGTGAAAGTAGAGTATTGAGAAAAGTAATGAAATGAATCAGCATCGCCATGCAGAGGCAGCAAGAATGGCCCTATCTTGCCATCCCAAAAGCAAGCAACCATTGTCCTCTGTCAATTTATAACCATCACAGGAGTAGAGACCCAGTAATATTTTGGATTGTGTGACTGCATTTGCACTCAGTGCTACTCCTTTAAAACCTTTTCCTTCCATCACCCTCCTCCACTTTTCTAACCTCTCGTGCCGCACCATTCTCTCCATTCCCTCACACGAAACTATGTTCATTATCTCAGGTCCAAATATGTACTGTTCCAATTTTGCCCTCTGTGATGAATCCCCTGGAAATGTAGCGTCCAGGGAATCAAAGATGGCCGAATAGTAGTGCAGTGCCTCCAGGAACCGACCCAGGAAATACGGTCCGTTATGGCTCGCCTCTTGCTCCACGATCGTTACTATATTTGGAGCTTGGTCTCTGATCATGCCTAACAAGTTCCCAATACAATTCCCTGGGACTCGATGGAGTCTATTCACCGAATTCACCGCCAAAGCCTCACCTATCCTTCTGTTGAACATGTGCGGTTTCAAATCCTCAAGCTGCTCCCCCACCGGGTGAAATTCAAAAGGAACGTGGAGGGACTGCGCCAGTTCTGTCAAACATCGACCTGTTTCCCTGACCGCTTCCGGATACGAACCCACTCCTGTGATACGAAGGAAAGGAGCACCGCCAGGTCGGGCTGCTAAGGCCTGCATAAAAGCCGGCCACTGATAACCTTGAAGGATGTCTAAATCAATAACATGAACGCGCTCCTCTGCTTCAAATGCTTCAAATATGGCTTGATTAGCTGTGAAATGAGCAAATTTGACATAAGGGCAGGCTTGGTAAAGAATCTGATAGATCTTGAGGATTTCAAGGGAATTAGGAGGAAAAGGATTGAAAGGTTTTGGGACAGAGGTGCTGGGTTTAGTGGCTAATGTTGCGGCAAGTCTAGCAGTAAGAGCTTCCGTGAAGCAAGAAGCCACTCGTTGCATTGAGTCACCGATTGGGGTGACTACTCGATTCAGGTGGTGGAGATACCTTCTTGCCAACATATAGTCCTCTTTGGAGACTGCTTCAGCACAGGCAAGGAGAAGGTGCACCAATTGTAAGCCACTGTCCTGTTCCTGCATCTGCACAATTTAATTAGCACTTAATTCCTATGTATCTGGCGACATGCGCAATAGTTTATATTTGTCCAGTGTAGTAGATGTCCAATTCCTTTCATATATAATAAAACTTTTGTCTAGGACAAATTGCATGGTGATATATGAGTTCACTGTAGACACATGTTGCAATTTAAGCTGCATTTACTAAAGTAAAACAACTGTTGTGAAGCTGGAACATTCAACACTAAAACAGAAGCATTGGAATTTTGAAAAGGCACTACTTTTTTTTTTAACATATATATATATATATATATATATAACTGTATTCTCTAGTTCTCATGCAAATATAACATATATATATATATATATGTTATATTTGCATGAGAACTAGAGGATACAGTTTCACAGTTAATGTGGTAAAACCCTTGATAAGTGTCGTTCAGAAAGGAGAAACAGAAAATTATAGATGGAAGTATACCTGATCAGGTGCAGCAACAACCAAATTGTGATTGATCATTTGCGTATATTGTTGTTGTGTTGATGGTAGTTGAACATGTGTTGGTATTTGTTTTTGTTGCTTCTCATGGTGTCGTTCTTGATGTAGCTGTTGTGACAGAGGTGCAATAGACCCCGTCTGGAAAATCTCATCGTCTACTTGTCCGACAGATGTGTTGCTGAGTAATGATCCCATAAAGCTAGCGGACGTATTGGATGATGAATTTGGCAACGCCAGGCACTCTAAAAAATCAGGAATTACTGAGAGAGACTCGGAAGAGGATCCAACATCTGAAACTTTGAGTGTGGAATATTCGGATGCCAAATCATCATCTAAGAAACTCTCAAGAGCTGGCAGGTTAAAGCTCTCAATTTGCATGAACTGGTTATTAGGAGAGTTGAAAACTTTTTGGAAGGGGCTAAGTCCCTTGCCTTTATTAGTGGAGTTGTAATTATTAGGTCTCAAGGGAGAGCGAGGAGGGGAGCACATCATCATGCTCTGCCCATGAATTCCCTGATTATGATGTGTGTATGTGTTGTTATTGTGAGTAGTAGTAGTAGTACAGAAAGTCGAAGTCGAGGAAAGGTTCCTGACGGGGGAAGAGATCATGAAATCTGCCTCCAGCTGATCAGCAAAGAAGGACTCCCAGATTGAGTTATCAGGAGATTGGATTTCAACATCATCATCGTCGCCACCTCCGGGAGGGAAAGTGAGGCTGGTAGGTATTAAGCTGCCACAATCGAGTTCAAAGTCCGAGGAGATAGGAGTGACTTTCTTGGATTCAGAAGAGGCAAGAGAGTCCTCTGGAAGCAGTTTGATGTAAGAATTCTGGTCCTTAAAACTTGTTATTTCACTGCCAACCTCATTTTTTATTATGTCGTTCTTTAAACTCCCCATGTTACCACACACCTGCTTTTTGCGATCAACTTTTATTATTATGATTTGATGTCATATTAGAAATGTAAGTTGCAAAATCAGGCGAAAAGGAAAAGAAAAGAGATTTTTATAGTTGAGAGTTGAGAGGTTGTCATTCGTCGGCTTGTCCAGACTGTAGCATCTGAGGCTTTTTCATTTTGCATGTTTGGGAGTTTGTGAGTTTTATAATGGGATTTGGAATTATACCTTCCTTTATTACTAAAACTAAAATTTTCACCTCTTAAACTAAGGTCCAGTTGTACGAAGTTTCGTGGAGTGGGTGGGCCGGCCCAGCTGACGGATATATAATAATAACTAAAAATAAAGTATAGTGAAATCCGCAAGAGGGGATTGGTCGAAGCGGAATGAAAAGGATATTAGATAAATGCAATGCGTCTTTCTAGGTTACAATCAACTCACTTTCCCACTTAACAAATTTATGATCAATTCTACCCATACTTACTTTTAACAGTATTATCAAATCTATCCACTTCCTATGACATCACAAAACATATATAGTGAAGAAATGAACAAATATGGAGTGAAATTGATAAAACCTAAATTCTTGCTATGTAATGTCATTTGTTTCAAATTTAATACAGGGTATGCATGTCTTTGATCAGATAATCTTCTATTTTTCTGAACTATTTTCTATTGTTTTTAGGTAGCATTAATGTGAAAAGAGTATGATTACACTCGTAGATTATATTTTTATTAGAAAATTAAATAAATACATTAACTTGTAAACCATTAAAACAGCTCAGCGAGGAAAAGGTCGTGTAAATGCTTTCCATGCGTTTGAAACCAAAAACTCCAAACTCCTAATCCTAATTCACGAATTAATTTGAGTCACATATACATTGTTAACACTATTGGCGCTTACGATACCAAGCTTGATCTTAAGAGTTGTCTGTTATGTTATTGTGGTAAACTTAACTTGATAATGTAGTTTTTTAACACTATCAATGCATGGAAATATATAGTAAGTGCATCAATCTGCAAGATACAATTTCACTTAGTCTAGTCTTTTGTGTGTAAGGAAGAAAATAGACTCTCAACGCATTTGGATATGAAGAGTTTCTTTTCATTTTCAGTAGCATCTACATGTTCTTCAGGCCAACGGCGGAGTCACAATCACGCTCCGTACATACTTTAAAATTGTGGCTCAAAATTGCACAAAATTACTATTTTCTCTATGAATTTCCCACTAAAAATATTCACAGGTTATTCTCACAAATTAGTGAGAAAAAAATAGTAATGTTTACATCCATAAAATTAAAAAGTTACCTACTATTTCAGTGAAAACCTATTTTAATTGTATTTTTTTCTAGTGAGCTGATTTGACGGAAATGAATAAAAAAAGTCAATGTTGTATATAAAATTTTCTATTGATTTAGGACTAACAGTAAAAAGTCAATAAATAAAAAATAAAACTGTGCAAAGAGGCCACTCTTGTATGATAGGGGATATTGGGATAATCGCTAGGCTACTGCAAACTCCTAGGTTTTGCATTTTAATTTCATATACTATATATATTTTTGGGAAGAAAACAATACTAAATCACAGATGATTACTATGCTGTTCAAAGAAAGAATTGTACAAGTCCTCCTGCTACCTTCATTTTTCTAAAAAAATTGAACTAAACATTTAATTTAACCTCAAAAGCTATCACTTTGTCTATTGTATTATAAAATAAAGTATCTTGGCATGTGTGGAGCATAACATTTATAACACATGTTTCTATGACAATGGTAAAAATGGTATCTTAGGCTAATAATTGGCGCCGTTGAGTTGTAACCTTTTAGGTTTAATTTCCACTTGCTCTTGTTGAAAATTATTACAGTAAAGAAAATGTACTTGTTGATGAAATTGAAAGACAATTGTTTCTGCTGTTAAAAGACAAACTATATATATATGTAAGATAGGAAGCTAAGGCCGGAATTAAACATTTTAAGGAAGGTGACAAATTAAATGTGGAAGAGGAATTAGAGAGGATACGTAAATTTGTTATATATATATATATATAGCATAATGTTTGTTGAATTAATCGTATATATAAGAGGAAATTAAAGTAAAACAAGGGTGGAGAAATTGACAGCATCGTCTCATGTGGCGTCGAGTTTGGAATGCTTTTTCTCTTTTTTGTGAAGTCGGCATTTTTCTATTCACTAATTTCCCATCGATCTCCACCTTATTTTGATTAAAAAAAAAAATACTTAATAAAATTTATTATTATTCCTCAGCCATACATAATTCCAATATATATTACCAACAGTGAAAAGTATATAAACTGTTGCTAATTAATGAATGTTGCATAGTTTTTTATTTGTAAATTAATAGTAATGGATACTAAAAAATGAAAAATATAAATTATTTTCCCCATCACAGAAACACTAAATATATAGATGGAGCGGCAAGAAAGTTAGGGTCACGTGTAATAATATAACAAAAAAAAAGGCGTTTGAGCTCGTCTACTTCATCTTTTAATGGACAACGATAGGTATTTAATGATGCTGCTACTATTTGTTTTGAGATCCACATATATTTACGACGCTTTCACGCAATCATAAGAATTGGACTACTCGAATATAGTAATATCCATAAAAGAAAATAATCATATGTGAATTTGAAAAAGAAAGACAAATAATAACGAACCAAAACCATGAATACACCAAGGACCAAACAACATATATAGAAAAAATTATTTTATTACTATATCATACACAAACATTTTGCACCCTCTCAACTTCTTATATACCTAACTTTACAATCAGTTATGTAATTGTATCAATGCTTCATTTCAACTTGGAAACAAATTAAATTCATTTGCTTGCTTAATCATAATACTCCATAAAACCATAAAGGTGCAATGTTTAATATGCATTTGCCATTTTTCACCTGTGACCAGATAAAAATTCACAATCAGAAAATTATGATAGATGTCAAAATTTACAAGTAACATATTATTTGGGAGTTATATATGGACTTGAAAAGACATACAAGTAATGAAGATTAGTAAGAGTAGAAGTTATGAAGATGTAAATGTGTGATTAGTTAAAGAGATTAATGATTATTAGTAATAGAGTAGGTTTTTTTTTTTTTTATATATATATATAGAGAGAGTGAAATGGAGAGAAAAATGCCATAAAATGAGAAAAAAAAATTCAAGACCATAGAGAAGTGTTATATCACATAACTTTTAATACTGTATATGAATAGAGTGGTATATATAGTAAAAAAAATAAAATCATATTTAGTACTCTGTTGTTTTTAGTAAAAGAAGTAGACTATAATTTTGTGATATACAGAAACACTAGGATCAATGAGCACTTGAGTGAAACAAGAATGATATATGTACACACAACTAATTTACAGGATTTCAATTGAATATTTATTCATCTGCAAAGAGAAAAAAGAAAGATAAATAATTTGTCTTTCTCCATTTTCGCATACATTTGTTATCTCTAGCTACTACAAGAAGAAGAAAAAGATAAAAATGATTTCTGCAAAAATATGTATAGTTATATATCATAATGATCTGAAGTCTGTTGATTGGTATGCTAGCTAACATACAAATGGAAAATCCACATTTCTGACTTTTTCCCTTTATATTCTTTTTGGATACACATAATGAACAATTAAATCGTATGCTAGTTATTGATTAGGGGCAGCTAGCTAGCTTAAAGGAAGTAACATTGCTTAAATTATAACCGATGTGAAGTGAAAATTCATTTCATTCATCATCACATGCATAGTTATTTAGGAGATTCTGGAAGAAATAAATACTGATTTTATTTTTGTTACAAGTATAATGTGGAATGCGCACAGGTTGGTTGTGAATCATATATTACAAGTGATGCTTTTATAATTTCCCTCCTCTATCACGAAACGTGAACGTTCAAGACCAACAAATCAAAATCCTAATATAACGTACACACACAAAAAGAGATTTTCCCACCAATTATTTTCATACACGTGACATGCCAGCTTAATCCCATTCTATTCTTCCCTCTATTTTGGCTGGTAATATGATTTGTCCAATTTAATAAATAAATTAGCTCCCACTCGTTAATTCAACTAGTCTAAAATTGGGGTTTATTTTTACAATATATATAATTCAAATTGATCCATGAGAAGATCTCTTTTTGTGAGTATGGTTTATAGTCACATAAAGAATAAAAAACTTTGTTAGTTTCAACAAATTATTAGCAAACAAACAAAGAGTAGTTTTTTCTTTTTTGGGTTAGAGTTGAGTTATGACCAGCTAGTTGTTGGCCCAATCCATCTCTGTCCAAATAACTGTTTTTTCTTTTTTTGGGTTAGAGTTGGATGAGTTGAGTTATGACCAGCTAGTTGTTGGCCCAATCCATCTCTGTCCAAATAACTTTTGAATGAGTTAAATGACAAAAGTATTCATTAGTTGGGGTAATCCATTTTAATCCACTTAAATTCAATCTAACTGGCTTATTTGAAAATTTCAATTTGGGAAAATTATGCAAAATAACAAACAATTAGTCTATATTAGGTACTATAACTACAATTTAAAAACAGTATAATTCGGGACTTACAACAGTTTCCCCAATTCTTGTTATTCGTCTGATTCTTGATTTGTCTAAATCCAAAATTAGTATAATTCGATTCCTGATTGTAAAAATCCACAATTTGTACTCCCTCCGTCCCATTTTATATGACAACATTTGACGCGCACGAAGTTTAAGAAATAATTAAGACTTTGAAATGTTTACCAAATAACTCACTTTTCTCTCTCCTCATAAATGTATTAGAGTTATTATCTTTAAAATTAAATGGAACCAACAAGGATAAAAGAGGAATTGTACTTTTAAATATTTATCATATAAGAAAATGTGATATTCTTTTTGGGACTGATAAAAAAGAAAATGGTGCTACATAAAATGGGATGGAGAGAGTATATACTTACTTTTTATTTGTTTACTAGCAAGAGAAATGTACAACATCGTTTTGAAATTCCTGAATGTATATACAAAATTTGTATATACTTGTGATATTTGTATACTTGCAAGTGAAATATACAAACGGACAGAAATATACAAACCAAAGCCTCCATAGCAAACAAAACTATAGCTATGAAGCGCAATTATTGAAACTATAGTTACCTTATTAATTTTGAAATTTTCTCTTCCTGTTTTAACTAAAAGCCCAAGAACGTAGTCTTACCATTAGGCTGGCATGTGAGAGTGGCCTCCATAGTGTGTATATATATATATATATATATATATATATATACAAGGATAAAAATAACACCCTATACATCCCCATTTAAGTCATAAACGGAAGCCTAAATTTTTTGCAAGTTTATCTGCTTTTTAAATTTAGTTTATCAAAGCCTAATGTGAGAGAATTTAGAAGCAAACAACTTCCATCCATTTTGGATAATGTTCAGACCGTAGATAGCTGAAGTTTAGTCATTTTGCATGAAGTTCAGGCTATATATGTGACCGAACTTGAACAATTTTTTTCTATATGACTTAACTCACTTGGTGTTAAAGTTGCAAGTGATACTCTCTCTCAGTGCGCTATTGCTTGTAACATTGTAATTCATAAGAAACACGATTTGACACCTTTACTAATAAAATGGAAGTAGAAGAATGAAAAAGAGAATGAGAAGTGAACTTACAATAAATGTGAGTGAAGTAATGGTTGGCTGAATTCTTTGCCTCTATGATATTGATATATCACATGATTCTGAGTAGGAACAATCCTTCTCTGTGGCCAGACCAAATTTATAATAGATATGGGGAGAGTGGCAAGTCCGTGACTGGCTCCTTGGGGTAAGGTCAAATAATAAGTACTCTATTTATTTATAGTATCACGTTAAGAAGCAAGGCCACCATAAATTACAACAAACATGTATGAATGAAAAGGAAGGTCTATTTATTCCTCTATGTAAATGAATTTGTCTACTTCCCACTATACTCTCTTTCCTACACATCCACCCTTACAAAACTCCAAACAAAGTTCACATGATTTGTTTGTTTCTGAATTCTGACTAGCAATAAGGTTCGATCCCTGTCTCCCTCTTTCTAACTTTGATCTCTTCTTTTTCATTTCTGTCATCACTTATACTCTCATTATCCATACACACATTCTAGCTCATTTCTTCTTAAAAAAACATAAAATTCTTTTCTTCAACTAGTCTTTTTGTGTAATATATCAATCTCACATATAATTAGTTGTTTTTATCTCAATTCCTTTTCAAGTCTCACCTCAGTTTGCCATGACTACTACTACACTTGTCCTGTTGGTGGTCTCATGCTGCTTCTTGTGGTTGAGTCTATCGTCAGCAGCAAAAGTGGTTAATCCACAGATCACTGTCATGGGTATGGTTTACTGTGACATTTGTTCCAATAATTCCTTCTCCAGGCACAGCTACTTCATGCCAGGTAAGTTTTTGAGGCAAATTAAACATTTTTCATCTTTTGCATAAAGCTATCTAAAATAGTTAAAGTCCTATACACGGGAGGTGGCAAATGAACAGGTTGAACGGCTCAAAGCTCATAAATGGGTCACGGGTCAATACTCTAACCACCCCCAAATAATCAAATGCTAAATGCTTCAAGTTCTTCCAAATTTACAATATCCCCAATCTTGAATTTTATATATTTGGGTTTGAGTTGAATTTTGACCCCTTAGGTTAATCATCTGGGTTCAACCCAACAAATAGGTCATAATCCAAACCCATTAAAACTTGGTCGATTAATTGGAATTGATGGCTGAACAGGTGTAGAAGTGAAAATAGAATGCACCTTCAAGGCAATGGCGACAAGGACGGCAGAACTAGTATCAGTGTCAGTGAACAGAACTACTAACAAATATGGAGTTTACAGGTTGGAGATACCTTCTGTGGATGGAATAGAGTGTGCTGCTGAGAAAGCAGTGGGCAATTCCTGCAGGGCTAGCCTTATTGGAAGCTCATCTTCGTTCTGTAATGTACCTGGCTCTACAAGAACCACTACTGATGAGATTACAATCAAATCTAAACAAGCAAACATGTGCATCTATAGTCTCACTGCTTTGAATTTCAGACCTTCTAAGAGAAATGTTGCTCTCTGTGGAAATTAGAACTCCAACTATCTTATTTCCTTTTTATATGTCTTCTCTCATTCCCATTTATAGGGAATATAATATGTATAATTCATGTCCCTTTTATTTCCAGTAATCAAAAGCTATGCTGTTAAATACAAGGATATGTATTAGAAACAGGCACCAAGTCCTCATCCTTGCCAGAGGAACTGTTCTTAGATGCTTAATTGTTCTTGATGGAAAACAAAGAAAGAAGGTTCAAATTTGTGTCTTATAGCTCTTTGGAAATAAGAATCTCATTTTACCTTTTACTGATATGACAACTCTATATTCTCATCACTTGACTCCAACACTAGAGCTCAGATGCTAGCTGAGTTTTTACTGACATGCAAATAGTGAAAATAATACTATGCCTTGATCAACTGCAATAACACAAAAAAAAACTTACAAGCCTAAGCATGGCATAATGATTCCTTTGACTCATTGTTACAAGAGACTTTCCAATTTAACTCCATCTCATATCATGAATGATTTAAGCAGCAATTTCATCGCAAATCCAAACCTGTAAGCCATTTTCAACCATGGAGGTGGATAGACAAGGAATATAAAGTTAATATCTGGATAGAAAGTTAACAAACATCAAATGTAGCTCAAGCTTGTTATACATTTGTGAGAATTAGTTTACGATCTCTTTTGCCTGCACCAGATTACGGAATAAGCTGCTTATGTTTCAGCACACATTTTAATACTTCACAGAAGAGTAGGAACGGAAAGCAGTTCCAATTAGCAATGTTTTACTTCAATACGGACTGTACAAGTTCAAAATCAAGCCTTAAACAACTCATGGAAAGCAGATGCAGTAAAAACATTCAAGTATGACACGTCCTGTCTCTTTGAGAATTTTTTGGCAAAATACAGTACAAGAACTTCTATTTGAATGGTAAAGAGTCATTTCCAGCACGTCTTGATCTGTACATTTCCAAGCTTTTCTTTGAAAAGATAGCCAGAGCTTAAACAATTCATGGACATGTAGAAATCATGCCTGACCACACTTGCTTAGGCATGCAACTCCCTCTTCTAAATAATCTTGTCTATTGATCCAAAACTCAGGGGCATCCTGCAGAAATTATTCAATTATCTACTTATTTCTGTTAACATAATAATGTTGCTTTCAAATTGTATGCTCTTCAATTAGGGTGTGCATTGATTCATTGCAATCCTTTTCCTTTTTGGCATAATGAAAAGAAAAAACTTAAGAACGCTCAAGGAGAAGAATGACGAGAATTTATTTTTTTAGGTGAATGAGCTTCCTGACTGGAAGAATAGGACAGCAAGAATAATTTAAACATGGAAATATACCAGCCACTATGATTTCAGCATAATATTAAACATTTAAGTTACGGCATAAAATTCTTTTACTTGCTCTACTAAGTGGACTTTATTTAATTTAGTTGCATTCAGCCACAGGAACATCTCTCATACACAGATTATTTGATCAATTGCAGAGGAAGAACAAGAAAAAGAGAAGGATCGGAGGGATGTGAAACACAAATTTCCTTGTGCCTGAATCTGATGATTGCACGGGCCTAAATCATATCAAAATAGTATAATCCAACATGTGCCACAACCACTTCAATGGAGGACAGAAATAGAATATTCAAATCCAGAAAATTATGAAAAAGTGTACACAGATTAGAAAAGGATGTATCTTATTAGCTTTCTTTTTGTTTCTCCTGGGAATAAATTCTTTTTTATATGCATGAAAAAGCAAGGAGCAGAGATGGGGCTACAGAGAGGAAATCGATACCACCATACCTTCATAATTCCGGCCAGAACTGCACCACCGAGATACACCATATGCTTTCTTCTGGGTGGATCTTCTATTCGTAAGCGCAATTTCTATTGCAGAAAACATATAAAATAAAATTTTCAAAAATAGAGAAAATTTCAACAACTTAAAGAAAACCAAGAAATGCATCATAAAAGACAGCAATTGTAGGCAATGCAATCCAACTCCCTAGATATGTTAAACCCTACTCGTACTTTTCCAACTACTTTCTTATCTCCATCTCTTGATTGACTTGACCTCATATAGAGCCGAAATCACCATAAGCTGCAGCTACCAGTGAGATTGAGGTATTTTATTGTGGTTTGTGGGTAAGACTATTTGAATAAATGCAACTTAGTTGCATAAACCTTATTCATAAACCAAAAACCTCAAGAAATTGTGAAAAGAACAAATAAGAGTCACACAGTACCTTCAAACCATCTTTGTTCCCCTTCAGAACAACATCAAGATAGCGGTCCAAAATTTCTTTCTCAAGGCTGTCAATGTTTAAAAAGAAGGGAAAATAGCTGTTATTAAAGGAAACAAGAATATGATGAGTGTGGTCATGAGGTGGGTAAGAAAGAGTTTCGTTCCTTATATTCCCACAGTAAACCAAAAGAAATGTTAACTGCAAAAGTAAAGTTCAAAGGAATAAATCACAAAGAGATGAAAGTCCTTCTTGATGACAGCTCACGGATATTCTTAACAGAAATTCTTCATGCATTAAAGTGTATACCTAAATTTCCTAATATAGCACATTTCTAAACAATACTCATATCCTCTCGAATAGAATTTCATACTCTAATTTATGATACGTAACAAGATGAGAGTTAAAATAGTATGTAGTGAAAATGAATATATATTTCACGTTGATTTGCATTTTTAGATATGCCTTCATGCATTTCATGGTCGTTATGATACTAACAATTTCAGAAGGGTACTTATGAGCAGGAGAAAAATAGAACAACTATGAGGAATAAGTCATCAGTCAGATATACCAAAGCTGACTGCTACCAGGAGGAGGGAATCAGCAAAATTTTGATACCGTAAGAGGAGAATCATAAAATTCAAAATCCACAGGGAGGTGAATTAGAGTTCTTCGCACAATAAAAGAGTGTTATCAAAGTTATAGCATAACAGTTTTACAGTTCAAATTTCTCTGCCAGATTGATTAAACATTAGTCCTGAGGAAAAAATAATTCAAGGATATACTTTGGTTCATAAACTCAAAGCAAACTGTCACACCCGTTAAAACTTCCTAGTCTGTATGACAATAATGTAGCATTTAGAATCAACCACGCACAATTGCACTACTCAGCTCCAAGTTCTCAAAGCTTTATAATAAGGAAGAGTATTTTGAGTAAGTTACCGACTAGGTAAGCCAGGATACATGGTACTTCCACCACTCAAAACAATATGCTGGTAGAGCTGCAAGTGAAAATTTAAACATATGATGGATGGCAAATGACAACACTATGGCAAAGAATACAGAAGAAATTTCAAAGTTGAAGTACCATCATCCTGTTGTCAATATCCATCTCCTGAATGCAGCGAAATACCATGTCAGCCATGCCATCACCTTCAACATCAATAAGATCCTGAAATGGACAGAAAAAGTGACACTTAGCTTCCTTCCACATACAGCAACCCATCAATAAATATATTGCAGAAGCGTGAAATAATATTTAAAATTCCTTGCACATACATCAACCCTTCAATTAGAATTTTGGAGAAACGTGGAATAATATTTCAATTTAGCTTTCTTTCACATACATCAACCCATAAAGTAGAAGTTTGGAGAAGCATATAATAGCATTTCAAACAATGCAGTTCAAAGTTCAAACAATGTGTTCTTGCTTCAATTTTTTCACAAGGACTTAATTGACACTTCATCTGAAACAAATTGGTTCAAAGATAACACTCTATTGCTTTGCTATTGAATAGTTGAGAGGTAAAAGAACTACCAAATTTAAAAAGCTGTACGACAAAAGATGGTCATGGTATTAGATAACAAGTGTCACATTGACATTTGGTGTTACATGGGATTTGCAGGATTAGATTGCTTTATGGGAATACATCAATTGCCTTTCATCTTTACCACTACGAGGAAAGCAAATCTGGTGCATTTTTATGTAAAAGGTATGTTCTTGATTTGTGAAAGAGGAAAATAAAAATGGGAATGCATGCTCACTGGAGTAAAAAGAGCCTCAGGTGCCTGGAACCTCTCTGTGCCAACTTTAAGTACCCTCCCATCTGGAAGCTGTTGAAAAACAAGTGAAATAATGAGTTACAGATGACCAAGTTTCTTATGGGAGAAAAAAGGATCTTTGCTTCCAAGAGCAAAGTACCATACCTAATTGCAGTTCAAGGTAGTAGAAAAGCTTAAAGAATAGTAGTGCCTTTGTTTTTTCCAATTAAAAGCTTATTATGGATGGAGCCTACTCACAGTATAATTCTTAACAAGAATTGTCGTTTCAAGCCCCAACTGATACTCTCTCTTGTAATCATAACTGCAGTAAAGAAAATATCATTACTCGCCAGAAGAATTAGTAAAGGGATTAATTTACAACGCAAGTAATTCACCTAATGTAGCAGAGCTTTTCTTTAATATCCCTGACAGTCTCAAAATCGGCACTTCTATTCATTGCATACCTTCAGATATGACTGACCATCAAAACTCCAGTAATGGTTTAAAATAATCAAATTAGCATGAATGACCCTATTTAGTTTATTTCAAACATATGTTGGCAATTACCCTCTCCGAAGTAGCAGATCAACCATATAAGACGTTATATGCCGTCCAGCTACATTCATTCTTTTCGTGAGGTGAGGAAATGAGTATCCATCTACAACAGGAACCTGCACCAACATATTTCTGAATAACATACAGAAGAAAAAATATCCCCACGGTTCATAGCAAGTATTACCATGTGCCACCAAAAGAACAGAGAGCTGAAAAAACACTGCCTTTATGACCAGCTTGAAGGAGCAATCTTATTAGACAGGGAGCCCAATGGACTATGCAGGAAAAAAGTTCTAGTTTTGGGAGTAGCAACTCCTAGTTTGATTACCTCAAACTTTATGAGAATTAACCTTCTCTTTTGAATCAATGTTGAACCGAGACAAACTATAGATCATGAAACAGCTATGCTTATGGAAAAACTTACAACATGTGTAACTCCATCACCTGAGTCGATGACAAGCCCAGTCAACAAACCTGCATATTGGAACATAAAAAATGAGCAAATCCATCATCAGATAGGGCCCAAGTAGAAGCAAAATATGACTTAGCCCCACCCTTGTAACAAATACCCGCTACAAAATTGCAATATCAAGACTTATGATGGTCCTTCTCGCAACAACAACATACCCAGTGTAATCCTCCCACCAAGTGGGGTTTGAGGGTAGAGTGTACGCAAACCTTACCCATAGATTTAGAGAGGTTGTTCCCGTTAGACCCTCAGCTTAAATAAGCATGCCAAACAGT